CCGCTCGGGTAGCCAATCACAGCGCAGGATTTGATTCATCTTGCCCGCTCACTGAGCTAGCCATATAATATATTAAAGATCATGCATTTGAACTGCAGAGAAAGATATGAAGGCACGACTAATCATCGCAGTTATATACACAACTTAAGCAGTTGTGAAATTAAAGCCTGAAAAAAAAAAAAAAATTCAGGCCTGAACGGGATTCGAACCCATGATAGGGTGTAATTGGCCCTGACAACTACAACAGTAGCAAAGATGTTAAACATTACCTCAATAGATTCGTTGTAGTTCACCGTGTATTCATAGAGAGCCTGAAATGATACATCAGCAACAATAATATTTAGAACGTTTTATAAACAATTATTGGATGAGGTTTTTGCGATATCCAGACTAATCAAGGTCGAGGTAGGGGTTAAATGGAAGTCATGTTTTTGCTCCTTCACTAATGGCAAGCAACATAAAGCGCGCGAACTTGACATGATTACACTTAGAAATCATGCACGGCGGTCATACATGACATGATTACTCGTGACCTTGAGTGTGCTTGACATGATTATTGTATAATCTGCAGCTAGATGACGTCAAAGGCGCTGATTTCGAAACTTCACTGTACGCTTTCGACCAATCAGAAAAGAGATAATGAGTTCAATGTATAATAATCAGAAATATCGGGGCGAACTTTCCGCTATTTTCAAAATGGTGTTAACATGGTGTGACATTCGATGGTTGTAATTTACATCAGGAATATGAGGTCAACACGCAGTCTGTAATGGTACGATACGTGGTAAAAGACACGGAGGGGGTCACTTCCCAAAGGTGTATGGCGCGAACCTTGAAACCTGTACCCTATCTCAGACCAAAATCTGTAATTTTCCAAACCCTTTTTCAGACCTGAGCGAAATATCCATACCCCATTTCGGACCTCTAAAATTACTACAAGGCTTAATATGTGACCGCAGCTAACCCGAAATGGCTACCATTTGCGTAAACATTTGAGAAGGACTAAAACTTTGCCAGTGCTCATGCGAAAAGAAAAAAAAAAATTCCTTCTAAACAAAATACCCAATGCCAAGCCAGAGTGAAAAACACACCCTATAAGTATTTCAGACAAAAATGGTCAAAATCTATACACTTTTTCAGACCAAAACCGCTAAAACACCATACCCTTTGCAGGCTCGAAAACAACTTGAATTCCAGCTTGGCCTTTGGACAAGCAGCTCTCAAATTTTGCTTGTCCTGGGCACGTCTTAGTTTATTTTTTTTCTTATTTAGTTGGCAGACGACTTGTCTGGGCCCATAACCGTTGGGCAAGTAAGACTGAAACGTTAGTTGCACAGCAGGAAAATCTGCTTATCCGGTCCGACTGGATGGCACTTTTTTCGAGCCTTGCTTTTGAGGCCACACACACCTATAGAGCCAATATAAGGGAATACCACGTGTGATGCAAACCGTGCTTAAAAACGTCCTGATGGACTGCTGGTTAGGGAATTGGATTCTTAAACGAGAAAACCAGGATTGAGTCCTGACCGTAGTTGCCGTACATGATTAGGTCGCGGCTCAGGCACTACACTGTAGTTCATAGCACCTCTCTCCCCTTACGCATATTTAAAATGGGACGGTCCGGTGAAAGGTTGGAACAACCCAACAAACGACTGGGGTGGAGGGGGAGGGCATTTACCTGCTACGGACTAGCATCCCATACATGTTGCTAGCAATACCCCTTGTTATTTCATGTTGAGAAATCGTGAGTTACCGCAAACACAGATGAGCCAATGTGGCTCATGATTTGCCAATTATAACTTACCTGATAGATAAAGTTGTAGTGTTCCAAGGTACAAACAATGCCATGTCGGTCATGACGGAGATTCTTGGACAACTCAAACACATCAACAACTGATGTTTTACTCTCCTCGTGGCTTTTTATACCAATATCCACAGCGATATACACGCCACTGAAACCAAGACCATCACTGAAAGACGAGTGAACGTTGTTCTGTTTAGCGGTCAAATTCACTGAAAACTCTCTCATACTCGTTTTGAGCTTTCTCTAATTACTATGACTGAGGTAAAAATGCGGAGGAAATTCAGAAAACTAGTTTAGGATTACATTTTGCTACGCTGGGCTGACATGAATTCAGTTTCCATTTCTAACCTGCAGTGTACAATGGTCGGAGCCTTGGTGTGGCCATGTTTCTTCCTCGCTTCCCTCGTGGCTGTCACGAAAGCAACAAACAGAGCCACGTTGGGCATGGCGCGCTCCTTCCACGACGTGAATCTCATGTGCGAGACTTCACGCGGGGAGGCTGCATTCTAAAATGCAAATAAAATAACAAGTTTCTAATTAAACTTTGCCAAAGTGAATATTACTCGATATTACAATTTTATGTGTTGATATCATGCGTGCTGATTGGCTGAACGACATGTTTAAACCTTACAAAGATGAGGCAGTATAACGCGTGCTATGAGTGGATGGCTAAATGTTTTGGGTCATTTCAATTGCTAAATATTTTTAAAATCACTTTAATTAGACCGCAAAAAATTGGTGTGCGTCACCTTTCCTTCGACGATGCTCAGAACAGTCAAAAGGTAGTCCGCTTTTTCTGTTATTTGTTTGACTGTAACATTGATGCCACCAAATTGCTTTGAGTTTCCTTGTCCTTTTGGCAGGTAATCCACGAATTCAGCCTTAAGGAGAAACAACAATTAACCGCACGAAAATAAGTGTCTGTTTTCATTTTCCTGTGGCTTAGTCGTTAAGGAGAGTGGTTAAAGATTTTTTCATATACTGGGAATTAAACAGACTTTTTTGGCGAGTAAGGGGAGGGGTTGGTTAGGGAACCCTATCGAGAATTTTCTAATGACACCTCTCTTGGCAGCCATTTCCTCTCCACCTATAACAGCCAGTCTTACCGGTTTTTCTTTTTCCTCATCGTTCACCATGACAACCGTATGCGCTTTTTGGTCCCAGACCATTCGCCAGAAATCCTCCGTGGTCTCATGCAGAGGATGCTGGGTAGCTATGTAGGATATCTGCCCTTTGTGGTCCTTAAAGGTGAAAGAGAGGCGTTCATGATCAACAAAGGGTAGTGCACGATGCTGAAGTAACCATGGTTTTATTTGCAATACTATCCCTCGCATTTACAATGCAAGTGTGGTCTCTACTTTTATGATATGCATCGTTTGTTCGCATTTTATATACAGTATACGATTTAGTTCAAAGTCTTAAAGGTAATGTCCTATCCTCAAAATTTAACAGATGTAATTAAAACTTGTAATAATTGGCACTCCCAGCTGCGTCACCGTTCAGTTTGGTGAAACATTTGCAGAAGTATCGTTCCGGGCATGGATACGATTCCCGTTATAGCTTTAGTTTTCTCTAGGCTAACTTTTCAACTTTGCGCTCTAGGAGCTTACTGAAATTTCAACTTTCATTTGAATGATTGGTAGATTGATTGATCGATTGATTGATTGATTGATTGATTGA